GTGTGAGCAGGACAGTGGGGGAGGGGGAGTGGATAAATGTAAAAAATGGGGTATGTGTATGGGAGGGGATTCTATTGAGTTATTTCTTCTTGACTAGAAATAATAATTTATAACATTGATGCCAGGGCTGTGTTAAGCGCTCAAAAGGAAAGGCAGCACACATTAGCCCCTCTATGGTGCCATGATGGCTATTCTGCCCTGTGGCATCATAATCGATTTTGCTGATCCAGCTCTCCTAGATGAGGTAGGCTCTATGATTTGATCTAAAACGTTAGGAATTAATTGTGGTAGTTGGAGATGTGAAAAAGAAGATAGAAATGAAGTGTGTGTGTGTGTGTGTTTGTCAGGGGTGGGGGGCTGATTTATCCAAGCAGGATAACTAAAAATAAGTGTCATTTTCTGAGTAATTTTTATATAGGATGGGAGTACTCAAATTCAAAACATGATCATCATGTACAGAATAAAGTCAGCTCTGCTCCTTCGTAAAGGGTCTGATTCAAACTCTAGCTCTCTATTTTTTGTCATACCCATTGTGTGACTCGGAATGGGAAAAGCTTGGGGTGCCTGTGGACAATGGAGCCCCCACTTCTAGCCCCATTAATGACTCAGTCTTTTCCTACAAGCAGAGTAGCTTCATTCCTCCTTGCCTCACACTGAGTGTATAACATCTGTAAAAATTCCAAGGACCATCTCATAAAATTTCTCCATGCAGTCCCCCAGTATTTGTGTTTAATGCTTATTTTGGGGAGTGGTCCTTTTAATAAAGCCTTTTCTTTTAGGTGTATACTTTCTTCCCTCTACCCTTTCCTACTCTGGGTGAATTTACACACAAACACACACACACACATTTAAATATATAGCACACCATATAGGACTATATCTATCTATCTATCTATCTATCTATCTATCTATCTATCTATCTATCTATCTATCATCTGTATATCTCCTTGCACCTTCTTCTTACAAGTTTGTAGACAAGTCTTTAGATAAGTATCGAGAAAAGGTGGAGGTCTTTTTGAAATATTAGTTCTGGGTTCTTATTTAGAATTGCCCTTTCTTATTAGTGCCTCAGTAACAGGAGGTCTTCCATAACCGGCATTAGACATGGACTTCAACTAGCTTTGCATCACCTTAAAATACTAGTTGTGTAGAACAGGGCACATGTGAACCTGGTTCAAGTTCAAATTGAAGAGTGTATTATACCCGTATCTGCTGAGTTCCTGGAAGACAGTAGTAAAGCTGCCAGTCTTTAACTTTTTCACATTAGTCTGAAGTTAATACTCAGCAGAAGACCAGTTTTTACCAGCTTCACCTGGCAACACTTCTTTTTGTTTCTTCTATCTAAATAGAGTTTCAAGTAGTAGTCTCCTATCCCATCTTTTTGTGTTGGCAATTTTATTTTTCCTCTTCTGGTTGTCTGACTGCACTGACTTTCCTAGCTTTGCCCCATCCTCTTATTACTGCTTATAACTGGATGTGTTCTTCACTCGTTGTGCAGAATATAGGACCATTTGTGTTGTTTGTCTTGTCTGCATCCTAAAGTACGCTGTCAATACAGTAGATATTTTGAAAACTTCTAATCTTTTTACTATTTTCTGATGAATTTAACCTTAAACAAAAAATAATCTTGTATGTAGTACAGTTGGTGGGAGGGGAGTTTCTCAGTTTTATTCCTGAATTCCTTTTGGCAAGGAATTGAACTGGATTCTGACCACAGTCATATCTTCTCCTCCGCCCCCCTTTCCCAGTCACATTTCTAATGGCTTTGAAAGTGTAGTTTGTGTAGCCCCAGTGATTGAGGCTTCTACCCATTTCTGTATTAGTGTGCCAATGTACACTAATCGAAAGGGTATTGTTTTGATCCAATTTTTTTCTATATTTGTTTTCAAAGACATTGAAACAAATAAGTGAAATTGAGATATGCTCAATACCACCTAATACATTCCTTTGTTAACTTCTAGTATCCTTGAGGAGACCTTTCCCTATTTGTGCCCACAGGAGTACATCCATGATTCAGTACTGCAGATCTAGATTGTTGTCCTTACTATTTCTAGTTTGCTCTATGATATCGTTATGAGGTAATGATATTTCTGCATGTAACTGGTATTAGTATTAGTGGAAATACTAAAAGTGATTTTATTATATTTGGTAAGGTTTTACAAGTTATTAGTTATTTGAAAAAAAAGTGAGGGAAATTATTAAACAACCCTTTACAAATACTGAAAGCCAATGGGAGAAAATCAAAAGAGCTATACAGTAGACTTGAAAGAGATGCTTGCTTATGCAAAAAGGGCAACACCAGTAGAAAGGCTTTACTGAAGAGATGTCAATCCAGTGGAAGAAAGAAGGACAGTAAAGAGTAAACAGATACAAAGAGGTTGAAGAGGCTATTTGTCATAATAAAACACATCTAACTAACTAACTAACTAACTAACTAACTAACTAACTTACTAACACATCAGAACACTACAAAGCTATCAGATAGATATCTGCCAGATATGCTCCTCAGATTCCCATGATTAAAGATGGGGGCAAGGCCATTTATTAACAGAGCCAGAGGAAGTAAAGCAAAGAAGGAGACAATACTTTGACACTCTATACAATGTCCCTAATGCTGTTATCATAGACTACAATGAGAAATACTTCGGCTGCCATTCGAGCACCAGAGATGATGAGGAAATATTAAATATTGGCAGCAGTGAGATAGAGGAAACTATCAAGAGAGCTAACCAGAAGAAGGCCCCTGGAGTGGATGGCATCTTGGTGGAGGAACTAGAAGCGGCTACAATAGGCTCGGGTTGAGGTGCTCCTCAGACTCTTCAGAGAAATAGAGGAACATACAGTGATTCCCATGGAATGGAAGGACTCAGTCATAAGTCCCATACACAATAAGAAGGATAAGCTGGCCTGCTCAAATTACATCAGTTTGTTGTGCCATAGCAGCAAGATCTTCTCCTCTATTATCTTGCAAAGGATCAAGGGCAGAACAGTGGAAATCCTAGCAGAGGCCCAGTGCTGATTCAGGGCTAACAGGAGCACAATAGATCAGATCTTCACTTTGAGGCAACTGACAGAAAAATATGAAGTATTTGGAAAAGACTTAAATGTCTGTTACCTCGACTTCAGGAAGGCATTCGATAGCATCTGGAAGAAAGGACTTTGGGAAACAGTGAGATTCTACAGGTCCCCAGAGAAAATCGTAAGAATACTAGAAATGCCTATACAGATACCTTTGCGTCAGTTGTTGTCTGTAGAGACTAAGTGATCAGTTTATGACAATCGTATGAGTGTTGCGGGAATGCATCCTCTTACTAATATTCTTTAATATATGCCTGGAATAATAGCAACAGCCCTGGAGGATGAGGAGATGGATGTGGTGTGTGAATCAATAACTTGTGATTAGTCAATGATACAGTACTACTTGTATACAACATTACTTGTATATAGCACCCCTTGTATACAGCACTACTTGTCTACAGTACTCCTTGTATACAACACTCCTTGTCTACAGTACTACTTGTACATAGTTGTTCCTATCCTGGGCAGTCCTAGATGCTTGTGTTATTATCATACCCAGGGTTCCACAGTCTTCCTCTATGCTGTCTATCCACCGTTTCTTGGGCCTTCCTCTTCACCTTATCCCATGTGCTCCTCCAAGCAGTGCTATCTTCAGGTATCTGCCATTTTTCATTCTGATAACATGGCCAACATATCAGGCACTGTTGTTGTATCCTGTAGTTTACTTCCTTCTGTAGATGGGGATGCTTCTTAATGTCATCATTGCACAGCCTATTCTAGACATTGTGACACCTAGAGTCCTCCTGAGACACGCCATCTCAAGTACAGTCAGCTGCTGTTCTGAGGAGCGTTTTCACTTTCCAGCTTTCAGAGTTGTAAAGAAGGCAGCTCAAGAAAAGTGTCTTATATACTTGTAATTTTGCTGTTATTGTTGTTACGTGTTTGTAGAGGAAGCTGTGGGCCGCTTCCCACCGCCCGCTCCCAGACACCGGCTAGCTTTACCAAAAATAATTACATGGAAACTGTATTCTTTTAAACACTGCTTGGCCCTTTAGTTTTAGCCTCTTATTGGCTAACTCTCACATCTTGATTAACCCATTTCTATTAATGTGTGTAGCACCACGAGGTAGGGGCTTACCGGGAAGGATCTTAACCTGCATCCATCTTGGAGAGGAGAGCTATAGCGTCTGCCTCACTGCCTTCTTCCTCCCAGCATTCAGTTCTGTTTACTCCGCCTACCTAATTTTCTGTCCTATCAAAGGGCCAAGGCAGTTTCTTTATTAATCAATGAAAGTAACACATAGACAGATGACCCTCCTCCATCATGTGTTTACTGACCAAACCTCTTCTTGTGCCCAGAATGCAGCCCTCACTATCCCTATCCACCTCTTGACAACCGAAACAGTTCTCTTCTTGAGCTGAGGTTTCCTCCCAGTTAGACAAAGTTGACTGTTACAGCTCTTGTGGCCCAGGCTGGCCTCGAACTCACAGAGATCTGCCTGCCTCTGTCTCCTGAGTGCTGGGGTTAAAGGTGTGTGTCACCACCACCTGGTTTTCCTTCAACTTTCTTACCCTCCAGGTACATAAGATTTAAAATGTGCTTTAGTCAGGTTTTTAATCCTAGCATTTTATGAGGCAGAGGTAGGCAGGTCATGTATTCAGGCCAAACTGGGCTGCGTATTGAGGCTCTGTCTCTGTACCAATACTCTCTCCTGTGTCTCTTCCTACTCTCTATCCCAGCACAAGTGTGTGCATACGTGTGTGTGTGTTACATACATTTTGAATTCCCTTCTGTTAATTGTTTCCTGTTAGTCCTTTTACTTTCTTATTAAATGAGGCTTAAGATTTCTTTACTCCTTCCAAAGGGTTGCATGTGCTTGTAAGTTTTCTTGTGTCTCTGTCACGTCTTGCTTACAGGGTTGAATGTGGAAAAATTCTGCTTCTGATAGAAGTATTAAGTGTTTGTCCCTTTTCTCCCGTAGGGCTCCTTGGTAATGACCAGTCTAAGGCATCAGAGCAGTCAGAGAACGAGAAGGACGATGCATCCCAAGTGTCCTCTACTAGCAACGATGTTAGTTCTTCAGATTTTGAAGAAGGGCCGTCGAGGAAAAGGTTAGTATCCAAGGTTGAAAGTATTAGTAAAATCATCCTGTAACAAGGACTACAAAATTTGCTTGCTAATGTTTGCCACATGTGAGCAAGTGTGAGTCTACTCACAGTCTCCTGGTTTTCACAGAAGAGTCAGAAGTGAGACTTTACTAATAGTAGCAGTAGTAATATTAATAATTAAAGACAAAGGTTTTTATGGCCTGGATGAGCAGCGTCAACCATTTTGTGACACTTAAGTAGTCATGTTTCTTCTTATAGAAAATGTCCTGAAATATGTCACAAATGTTTTTGCCATATGTGAAGGGATTTTTTTTACTTCCCCCCAATATTATAGACTTAATGTAGTATTATTGAAAAGTAACTAGAAATTACCATGTATTATCTTAATATGTCTGCTTTTAACCAAACTGTAGAATCCTAGTTCTTCAAACAACACTGTTATTTCTAAACAATTTTCCTACATAACTTAAGCTAAGTTCAGTAAGGAATGTAGCTGTTTCAAGTTTAGTGGCCTTGATATTACTGGGTCTTTAAAAATCCCTTTCCTGTTATTTGCCCTGTTTCATGTCTTATTGTTTACCCTTTAAAACTTACTTTTTCTTTTGCATTTGATATTCTATACTATTATCTTTATTAATATAACATTAAAAGGAAAAATCGCCTTGGTTTGAACATCCTTGTTGCTTCTTCTTACATTATAATTACCCTCTGAAATCAATTTAGATGTCTGTCTCTAATCAAGTACACTGAAAAATTAAGGGAAAGGAGGTTAGCCATGCATTTATATCACACTTAATAGTTCTTAGGTCTGAAAGTTGAGATGAATAGCTCAGATTCTTAGTTTGCCTTCCTGCTCCTTGGTGTGGCTAGCAGCACATGGTCTGTTGACTCCTACCGTCATCACCTCTCACTTCTTACCATTGTCTTAAGTTACTGTTTGGTTGGTTACTGTAGTGAGCATGAGCGTGAGGAGTCTGTGCATAGACTCAATGAGGGTCTTAGTGATGAACCTGTTACTGCATTCTTTAAGGCGCCTCTTTCTCCACTTGTAAAGGGAACCATCTCTAGATTTGAAGACTGGGGAGGAAAACAGTCTCTTCAGTAAATGCATTGTAATGTGTGACTCTGCCTTCTAGCATGGGTAGTGCCCATGCCTCTGACCTCAGCCTCCAGGCTCCATTTTTAGTCATATAAGCCAACACGCACTACTATAAGTGTGACTGACCATTTTTCCCCACCCCAATGTCAGGAGATCCATTCTCTGGATGACAGTGTTGCAGCCTTCTTTTTTATACATTGTGTGGTCGGGCAGCTGAGTGAAAAGTGGTCATTTAATATAAATTTATAATTTGAAGTAATTTAGCATAATTTTTATTTAAAATTTTTATAAAATTTTAATAGCATTTATTTTTAATATTTATGATTCATAGTCATTTATTATGAATTTTTAGGACAGTCAACCAAGGAAATAACTTTTTAGTCTTAGAATTCAACCACTGCAAATCATCTTTTCGGTTGTTGTGTCAAGTATCTTTCTTGCTAAATTAAGAATTTATTGTAGATTGCTAGAGAGATGGCTCAGTCGTAACAAGTGATTGTTTCTCTTGTAGAGGACATGGGTTTGATTAACAGCTCACTACCACCTATAACTCCAGTTCTAGGGTATCTGATTTATGCATGTGGTAACTTTCATACATTCAGGAGAAATATTCATACACAAAATCAAATAGATTTTTAAAATTAAAGCAAAAGATTTCAGTGTAGCTAAACAAAATACAAGGGAGAAAATAGAATTCCTTGTATCTTTTTGAGCTAACAGGTCAACTTTACTAGTAACAGTTATGCATGTGGCTTATGGTTGGATAGGTGATGCTGAGCTTTCATCACTATCTTATAAAACTTTTAAATTTATGTATGCATGTGTGTTGCTGTGCTTGTACGTGCACATGAGTAGAGGATCCCTCGAGCTGATGTTGATGCTGGGAATGAACTTGTGTCCTGAAGACTGGCACATTCTCTTACCTGTCCAGCTGTCTGCGTAGCCCCAGGAGTAGTTTTTGAGGTTGGTGTGAGCTGTCCACATTTCCTCAGAGCTGTTTTGTTATGGCGTGCATACCTTGGCAATGTCACAGGATAATTCATGAGGGTTGACATAAGTAGCATATTTTTAATGGTTTACAATTGAAGAAATACTTTGCTTTGGTCTTGTTTCCTCTTTAGTGGTTTGAATTTGAGCATTGTTTTTTTTTTTTTTTTTTTAAAGCAGAATAGATGACTTAGCATTGGAATTCTGTAGATTTCTAAGTTGTACTAAGGATTAATATTAATTTGTGTGTATTTCCTTATGTGTATTTTACTTACTTTTCCAAAAACAAAAATGGGGCATGTATCTCTGAAAATGAAGCAAAAAAAAAAAAAAAAAGATCAGAGTAAGAATCTAAGTGTGGTTGATTCTCCACTGCATCTTACACACATGCATTGGGTGTATTGCAGACAATGTTGGTTCTCTCTGCTGTTCTTAAATGATAGTAGGAAGCATGTGTATAGAGTCTATGTGGATTATATTTGATATTTAGAACTTGTGGGACAAAAAACTCAATTCTAAAGTATAATGTCATGATTTATTTTTTAGATTTATTTATTTATTATGGATACAACATTCCTTCCATGTATGCTTACATGCCAGAAGAGGGCACCAGGTCATTATAGATGGCTGTGAGCCACCATGTGGTTACTGGGAATTGAACTCAGGACCTCTGGAAGAGCAGTCAGTGCTCTTAACCTCTGAACTCATCTCTCTAGCCCCCTAGGGTCATGATTTATATATCTGAATTTAGCCCCATTGCCAGGATGATCTGAATTGATAGTTGATAGCTGTTCTTTTACCATTTAGTTACAAGGTCTTGGTTGCTTAAATTTCTCTTTTGTCTGTTAACTGGAAGAAGGAGAAAGTAAAGGAAGGTGAGGTCATACTCTTGATATCCTCATACTAGAGTCTATATGCAGTGAAGACATCTTATTCTGACCTTATCTGGGCTGACTTTCTATCCAAGGAGATCTCTTTTTGTGATGATATTTTTAACATGCTTTTTAAAAATTTTCTTTTCTGTTAAAATGTGCTTGTGCTCACAAAATGCTCTCTTCTGGAAATCATGTTAAGCTGTATGTGCTCAACGTACCTGTGTTATGGTTGTTCCCTGACATATTTAGAAGACAGAAAGTAGCAGAATCTATAGGTCTTTATTTTTCTCATTTCAAGTTCCCTTATGGAAGTTGGGTTAGAGATTAAAAGCCCCAAATATTTCTTCTATCCTGAAATAATCATGGAAGTCACTTTTCATAGAGCTTCCGTGCTGGCATTTTCTGCTTATTTGAACAGTCTTTCAAATGAAGATGGGAAGGGAATTAACTTGCCATATATGAAGGCTGCTGTGTGGACCATCTTTTTAGTTATTGAACAGAAGCTGCGCATATGTTGTAAGTCGCAGCATCTCTTTATTTGAGAGTTATTTTTGCTCCGTATATAATGTCATGTTAAAAGGGAGTCTCCATCAGCACACCACTGACATTGTTTCTGGATACTAGTTTACATGGTTCTTGAGGGAAAAAAATCTGTCATTCTCTAGACTAGGAACTGCTTTTGCAGTTAGTAATTCTTAGCAGGCAGTGTTGGTTCAAATTTGGAGATATAATTTGTCTTAATGCTTTCTTGTTTCTTGCCCTTGCTGTTTGTTGGGCTCATTATTATGTTATTACTAGTCATTCTTCAGATATCACTGCTTCTACAAAATAGGAGCCATTATTTTTAAAACAGTTCGTGTCTCTGTGTGCACATGTGTGTGCATGCATGTGTTCATCATACGCATGCTTTTTGTTCCCTCACTTGAAAACTTGAGTGTACACATGTTGTTGTTGTGCTGGAAATTGGTTTTACCTCTCTGAGAGTTTAGTTTATCCAGTCTTTTTATTTTTAAAACATTTTACTTTAATCAACCAACAGTTTTATTATTTTAATTATTCTCTTGTGAGATGGGTGGGGACAGGAGTCTTACTGTGTATCTCTGGCTGACCTGGAATTCCTTCTCAGCTTGGAGATTTGATAAGGCCCTGAGTTTTTTCTTTCTTGTTGTATCCTGGAAATTTCTTTTTATTAAAATGAATAATCTGGAACTGGATATATAGTTAGTTCAGTAGTGAATTCGAATCCACAGGATACACAGAAAAGCTCCTGTAGTAACAAACATCAGTAATCCTATTGCTGGTATGAAGGCAGAAGACACTAGAATCCCCAGGAGCTTGTGTGCCACTTAGCTTGGCGTGTGCAATAGAACATTGTGTATCATAGTTTAACACTTGAATACACTTAACATTTGCACGCACATTTCACCACTACCAAGATGGTGTAGTTGAGTCCTGCAGGCATTTAGTTCTTAAATACAGACAGATGAATGTGAATCCTGAATCTGTACTTTCTCAGCTAAACCAGGCATTCCTTCCATGAGAGGGAACAAGTTCAGTGTTGGCTCTTTATCATAGCCCAGTGATCAGGTTTTCATTTAGTTTAATAAGAAATAATATTTCAACATTCACATACTTGGCTTTTAAGTAGTAAATTACTCCACAATAAAGTATGAGTATTAGAAACACTTATTTTTATGTCTTTGAAGGTATAAAACCCTATCTAAAAGAAGCTTTTTATTGACAAGATGATATGGTGCTTATTAATAAAAACCACTTAATTCTCTGAAAACATTTGTAATATTTTTATTAAAAGATGCAGACTTAGCATTCAAACTGGACCATGTAACTTTTCAAATCATCTCAAATATAGACTCTATTCTTGAAGATGCTTCCTCTGCCGTGGCGGTGCACACCCCCCCCCACCCCACAAATATCAGAAGGGATAGGCATTGTCTTGGGAACTGAGTCATAAGTGAACCTCACCCACACTGGTTTTACACTCTGGTATTCTGCCTATCTGTGGTGGTCCCCTTAAATCATGT